TTACAGTGATGAGAAGGAAACACAGAACCTAAAAGGAACCCACAGTTCCTTTCCAAGTCCACCTCTGCTTCCCCCGGGTTTGCTCACAGGCGGCGGGTGTTTGGGAATGAGGACAGCTCAAGTGGCCCAGGTCGCTTTCCTGGTGCTTTATCCCTGGCTTTCATTTTCTGGGAATCCCACGGAGTCAGCACAATCAGGATAAGCCGAGCTCAGGCTTGGACAAAGAGCAGACAAAGTCCCCTGAGCTTGGTGCTCCCCGCTTTACAAAGCTTGTGGGGGTGGGGGGCGGGGTGAAGGGAAACCCAGAGAACCACCTGAGGCAAAGAAACCTTTATCTTTCAGCTTGGTTCACTTCTTCCCATCTAAATGCAAAGGTGATAGAAGAGACAGGTTTCTCTAGAACAATCAGATGGAAATGGCCAGGAGGTTGTTTTGTAGTCCCCTGGGCAAACATCTGTGCGTGTGGAAACACCTGGAGAGCTGACCATATTCAGATTCCAACTAGATGTGAGGCACCATGTAGACAATGTCCTCTCCCCTGTGGTGGTCATTTCCGTAGCTAATTGTTTACCTGATCCTTCGGAGAGGCTTTGTTGGAGAGCCCTAAATTATCCTGGTGCTCCCTCACCTCCACCTTGAAGTAGAGGATAGTGAGACACACCAGGGTACCCTTGCACCCAGGCCCACTGCATGGCAGCCTCTGTTATTTCCAAAGGACAAACTAAAAAGGATGGTGTTTTATTTTCCTGGCAGAGCCTCAGTCCTGCACAGAAGGGATCTACTGTCAGAACAACCCAGCAGTTTCAAAGGCCAGAGGGTCCCTGAAAGGAGGGCAGCTTCCTGCTGTGTACTAGGGGTCACACCTTGTGGCAGGCGAACGTGCTCAGCTCCTTGCTGGCTGCCCTGCCCTGCCTGAGGAAAAAGAATCCCTGCTTTAGAGCCAGAGGAACACAATGACCTCCTTATCCATTTTTAAACAGCCTCTTCCCTTGCAAATCTCTGCTAATAAGCACAGCTTATCTTTATTTACCAGGTAGCTCCTTTCCCCACTGAGATACCAGAAGGCCAATGAAGGGAAGCAGGGAGAAAAGCATTTTCTACAAAATGACAAGGAGACAGCACTTTCCCATCTAAAAATACACAGATGTCCTTCCCCTTAGTGAATTCGAACTTGTTATAGATAGTTTGGGGACAGCTTGAAAAACTTTTTAGGAGAATTCAGTGTCGCCTGTAATTGATGGGGTTACCATTGAACTGTTCTGCTCATCCTTTCACTGACTGAACTAAACACCACAATGGAAAAGAAACTTTAAAGTCATCTGCTTTGTGGCCCTTACCTCTGAACAGTTACTCTTAAACATTGCAAATTCTTAGATTAAAGAAGATTAATAAACACTCTTGGTTCCCCATCTCCTCCCTGCTATAAACCAGCAAAGGCCCTTTTCTGAGTTTAGATAATGGGAATTTCTTTCTTCTCCTCCTTCTRCTCCTCCTCTTTTCCCCTCCCCCTCCCCCTCCCCCTTCCTTCTTCCTCCTCTCCCTCCCTCTTCTTCTTCTTCCTCTTCCTCTTCCCCTTCCCCTTCCCCTTCTTCTTCTTCTAAAATACACTTTGTAACTTCTGTGCCATTAATGCTAAAAATGCTACTTTCCTAATTAGATGACTCCTGTGCTGTATGATAGCACTCAAGCCTATTTTATTTTTTGGAACTTTGGAACACCCTGAACAATATAAGCCACAGCTTGGCATAAATGTATAATAAAAGGCACAAAATCTGGGCCTCCTAAAAAGGCTAAGTTTCAGCCTGGCAAAAAMCAATAGATCTAGTGAAGACTCTAATCACTATCCCAGTTTCATAGGGAGCTCTAGAAAAACAAAGTGGGTGTGGTAAGTAAAAGCCAGGACCCTCCTCCTCTAGGTCACAATATTGCAAATTTCCAAAGGAAAATCTTTTCCTTTTCTAGAATGGTAGGCCATGTTCCACCTGGATCACTTATGAAAGGCTGTTACTAAATTCCAGAATCTATTAAACTGTGAGGGGTTTGAGGGCAGGAAACATATTTTATTCATTTTTTAAATCCTTAGGTTAAACACACACACCAGCAATGGTGGTGGTCATGACTATGGTAGCAACTATAATTTGTTGAGCACTTACAGTGTGCCAAGGACCGCATTACATTAATTTATTTATTCTCCGTATATACATTAATTTATTTATTCTTCACAACAACCTATAAGGCAGGTACTGTTAACATCCTTATTCTGAGGAAACTCAGCAACAAACTCAGAGGGCTATTAAGTAACTGCCTGAAGTCACACCTCTGGTAAGTGGTAGAGATGGGATTCCAACCCAAGTCTTCCTGACTCTGGAAGTTGTGAATTGGACTGGTCCATGGTAGTCCATGGTAGCTTAATAAATGCATGTTGAACAAAACTGAGCAGATGTAACAATGTGGTGGGATGCCTCCCTCCTTGTTTTCAACTCCTATCTGACTTTCAAAGGCATTTGTTATAGATCCTATTATGATGATGATGATGATGGTGGTGGTGGTGGTGGTGGTGGTTTTAGTGCTCCAACTAGACTCCAAGTCCCTTGAGAGAAGGAAACACATTCTTCACAATCCATTCTTTTTGCACATTTTGAATCCTTACTGTAGCTCTGAAAGGAATATATTCCTATTTTTCAGATGAGGAAAACTTGTCCACAGGTGCAAATCTAGTGGTAGAAGATTCAAACCCAGGTCCTGGTGTTTCTGGGAACTTAGATTGTAAAGATGCACCATTTTTATTCTCAATGGGCCTTCTCATTAGGTAATACCCAGCTGGTAGCTGAGGGTATGGGAAGGGGTCACCTTTCCTTGATACTTGGTCACTTGGTGCCCTTGTTGGCACAATAGTAGGTGATGAATAAGAATTTGATGAATAAATGTTGAATATCATTAAGAAAGACTCCTTTGGCTGTGGTCTGCAGAAGTAAGGTGTAAAAAGGATCACAGGGAACAACAGATTARTGATAACCCACATGGTCCCTGGGTCTCAACAGACTAGGATCTTTGTATCCCATAAAAGGTAGCAGTGATGTTCTGATGGGTTTCTGTTACCTCTCAAGAATTGCAAGTGAAATTGGGGAATAAATATTTTGACATCTAGACCCAAAGCTCAGGTCATTTCAGCACAAATGAGACTGACCATCAGTGATGGGATGGCAGAGGTAAGGAACCTGGCATCAGGCTATGAAAATACAGTTCCACAGGAGGTGGATGAGGCATGGAAGACCAGCTTCAGATATAAACCCTCCTCTTAGTCTCACAAAAATTAGTATCCAGCACGTAACTCCTTGCATACAGTCTAAAGGAGAGCCTTATTCCCTTTCCTTCCCTTTGTCCTTCTTCATGTACATTTTTGGCATGTCACAAAGTCCCCAGCCTTGAATCCTTGTGCCATTCCATTGCATGTGAGGCAATTCTCTCCATTCTTCATCTATAGGATGGACACAATTCGTATTTCCTCTATCTGATTCAGAATTCCTGGGGGAATCAAATGAGATTATTCATTCATCCTTTCAATAAACATTTATTGAGTAGTTGCTAAATAACATACAAGATGATGTACCAGAGCGGTTCTGTTTCTTAGGAACCCAAGAAATGTTCAAGGTAAGGCAGATCTAGATTCCATGATGGAAATCGTCAGTCCAAGAGAATTATTAATAATAATWATTATTATTAATATTAATAATATGAATTATTCCAGCAAGAGGTGATAAGGAAAGTTGCTGCTTTCGAATTGAGTCTCCAAACTTTAAATGGAGGCAGTCTAGAAGCAACACTGCTACAGACACAGCAGGCAAAGATTACAAACAACTAATTTAGGAAATGCTTTCTGTTCCATGCAAATCTAGTGGTAGAAGATTCAAATACTTAAGTAGATTTCAAGCAAGTAACAGATAATACTTACTGAGTGCTTAAGAGGTGCCCGGTACTAAAGTCTTTACATAGGTAAACTCAGGAGTCAAAACTGAGAGGCAAGATCTAGTATCATTCCCAAGTCAAAAATGAGGCAACTGGGGCAGCAAGAGGTTGCATTTCTTGCCCAAGATCAGACAGACAATAAATCTCGTAGAGTCAAGATTTAAACACAGGTGGCCAAAATTACTCCAGGTGCACGTTGACTATGAAACCACAGATCCCTCTAATATGTATGATTATAATGCACCAATCTGTTTTTTACAAATAAAATAAAAAATAAGCGCATGTGAGCAGAGTTCAAACACTGCCTCTCAAAGGAACAAAAATAATAAAACGATTTCTCAGAAATTCAGTCTCCCTAGAGCTGTTTTCAGGGAAACAAATGATGGATACTGGTGCATTGTGACCCAGCTTATCTGGGAAATCACACTTCAAATTGAAAAGCTTTCAACTTCCTCCCTGGCATCTCCTGAAGTAATTGCAGAGTATTTCATACTGTGGCCGGTAGATGGCAGAAAGTGACAAGAAAAGGACTGGAAACCACAGTGGGACTCCCCACCACTACCTCCAGTCTAGTTCCCAACTAGCAGGATAAAATGCATTTTACCTCCAATATGGTTTATTTAAAGGAATAAATCCTCCCTCAAAGGCTGCTCCTAAGTAGAAATCATCGGGGTTTTGTTTTGTTTTGTTTTGTTTTGGTTTTAATTCTTCTGTCGCCAAGTGGTAATGAGAAACTGCCTCTGCAGCCCTGCAAGGTGTTGCCTCCATAAAGCTGTGTCCAGCTCTGGCTGGAGCTGACCAGGTCACCCCATCCTTGTCAACAGCCTGTCTTTCTAGGGGAGAAAAGCTTGGCGCTATGCGTGTGATAAAGTTGGGAAAGTATGTGGCAACTTAGGAAGAGTGGATCCCCGTTGAGTTAAAACACAAGTCAGCAGAGATCATTCAACAAAGCTAAGCACCTGTTGTGACTTGGATTTGAAGAGCAATTGAACCTCCTCCTGGTTCACCAGCAGCCAGCAGTAMAATGGGACCAAATGAGCCAGGAAAGAAGTTTCTGTGGGTTCATTCCTGAGCAGCTGTGCCATGAAAATGAGAGAAAACAAAGACACACTGGAAACTCTAAAAGAATTAAAGAAAACCTCAGAGAATCATATCATTAGATTATAAGATCTCTCAAGTGTAAAAGAAAACTCAGAAGCTGTAAAAGAATACATATGATTAACTTGATTACATAAAAATCTTAATCTTCTGAACGACAAAAAGCATTTTTAAAATCAAGAGAAAAGCCAGGCGCCGTGGTGCGTGCCTGCAATCCCAGCACAGGAGGCTGAGGCAGGAAAGTCACAAGTTCAAAGCCAGCCATGGCAACTTGGCAATGTCCTAAGCAACTTAGCAAGACCTTGTTTCTAAATAAAAGATATAAAAAGGACTGGGGATGTGGCTTAGTGTTTAAGTGCCCTGTGTTCAATCCTTGGTACAAAAAAAAAAAAAAACTCAAGAGAAAAAATTTAAAATTGCAAGTCATATGACAAAGAATTAATATCCTTATATACAAATATTCTAAGAATGCCTCTCTAAGTTCATGAATTTCTATGTCAGCAAATCTTATAAATCAGTAATCTTATAAATTAATTTTACTGATCGGCAAAGGACAACAGGGAGCCTATAAGAAAAAGAAGAAGAAAAGGGCCAATAAAAATTAGAAATGTGCTCAATTTCATTCACAATAAATAAATAAGAATTTAAGAAAGAAACAATAACTCATTTTTCACCCCAGGTTATGCAAGTCCAGCATTCTCTTGGGGTATCGGTGAGTTTAGTTTGGTGAAACTTTTTCAAAGACAATTTGACAACATTTAGGAGCATGTTGGCCTTTTCTTGACTCAGAAATTCGAGTCTTCTGTGCACCTCCACTACCATGCAGCCACCCAGACCCTTCTCTGTAAACATCTCCCATAGACCAATGGGACCAACGTAGGTCTCCAGACCAGACCCCTCCCCACGCTCCCACAGGGTGTGTAATAGACACAGCAAACCTCTATTAAGAGTGGGTCTCCTCTTCCCTTCCTCTCTCTTCTCAAATCTTCTCTATCTCCATTCCCTCCTAGGTTTCAGAGGCTTCTGTCCATTATCAGCTGGCCACATTGCTTTTTGAACCTGTGGTGAAGCATCATGGGAGAATTGTATGATGGAAAAAGCTACTCACCTCATGGCAGCTGAGAAACAGGGAGAGAGGGTGAGAGGGGTAGAGAGGAATGGAGGGAGGGAGCGAGAGAAGTCCAAAATGAAAGCTAGTGAGACTTGGACCCAGGAGGCAGACAGGAAAAAGTGGATTCTGAGTTGCCCGTTTTTGATGATTCTTTAGGACAATGTAATCCCATCAGCTGCCACTCTTTATGGCCTGGCCTTTTTACCTTTGGTTAAAACTAAACCAAATGTCCTAAGAAGCTTGCTGTGTTCTAAATCTTCTTCCTCCTTTTTAGGCCAAGTCCCCTATGACCTCATTCCCCCCCCCTACCAAAAAAAAAAAAAAAAAAACACCGGGTAAAGTTTTTGTGGGTTTTATGAGTTACCCAACTCAGAGAGAAATGAATGGACGCTCCATCTTTGGTGACATTCATTAAAGAATACTTTGCAAAACTGAGCCTGCTGCTTATTTGCAGAAAAGCATGCTCAGCTCCTAAAATTCTTCAGTAACACTTCTGCGCAGTTCCATCCAGATATCTTCCTTGTTACTAAATCTAAAATTAAGTGAAGAGTTTTTGGAGTGGGACTATTCCTGTTCATTTTGTAAAAGAAGATATTCGAATGATCCTGTTCTCTATAACCATAAACCTTTCAAACTTAAATCTTGAGTCTAAAGATAAATTGCCTTTCAAACTCTTTCCAAAGAATTTCCACTTAAATTTAGCAATTCCTGCACTTAACCTTCACTCCTTTGGATTTTCCCCTACAAATCTGCATATCTTTTCAGCCTTCCCCACAGCCCCTAGTTCTCCTGGCCATCAATATATGCCTTAGCAGGCGGTTCTTTCTAAGGGCAGGTCAGGCAGGAAAGGCTTGTAGCAACTCAGCAGGAAACTGGATGGATGCATCTCTTCCCTCCTTCCTTGACCATACTCCCCATGGAAAATCCAGCATAGTTGTGGGAAGAGATAATAGAAAGTTTGCTGTGGAGAAATAATACAGGGAACGTGATGGAGGGGTGCGGGGGTGGAGCAGGTAGGAGTGCTCTTATTAATAGGGAGACAACTGGGGATGGGATCAAAGGATGAATTCTGATGAGTACATAGAAAACCAAGCAAAGCAAAACATGAGATAATCATCAACTCAGGAAAACAAACCATTGTACAAGAAAAAAGGCATAATCATAATGTATTTACATGGCTCACATGTGAAGAGCACACTCATATAGTCTGAATAATGTCAATGCTGGATAGGAGTCTAACTGAAAGTATAATTTAAATATACTGGGAGGATGCAGGTGGGTGGACAAGAAGGAATCTGTGTAGAGTGGAGGAGGATAGTGAAGAAAAAAAATGTTTCTCTTCCACTTAAGAATGATTTCTAAAACTGAGGAATTCTGAGTACCTGAAAATAAGACGAAAAGGCAGAGGAGCCAGGAGTATTTAATGCCAGTGGAGGCAGAAGTGTAAAGCAATAGTGGACTTTTTTTGTTTTTTATCTTTTTTTTTTTTTTTTGGTTTATTAATACTGAGGATTGAATCCAGGGTTACTGAACCACTGAGCTGCATCTCCAACCCTTTTTTATATTTTGTTTAGAGACAGGGTCTCAATAAGTTGCTAATTGCCTTACTAAGTTGCTGAGGTTGGTTTTGAACTCATGATCCTCCTGCCTCAGCCTCCCGAGCCCCTGGAATTACAGGCATGCTCCACCACTCCCGGCAGCATTAGTGGTTTTTATAATCAGCCTTGCATAACGATTTGACTTTAAACTATGTGCATGTATGTCTTTTATTTAAAAAAAAAACATTTTTTTTCTTTAATTTAAAGGTTCATTGTCATCTAGAGAGATGTCCATCTTTCTTGGCCTGGAAACACCTACTACAGTTTCAGAAAAACTATATAAAGTAGCAGTTAAATCATGAAAGTGAAAGACAAAGAATCATTTCAGGTGGGAATAATCTCTCAGGTTAAAGCTTTTCTACAACAAACCAAAAGATAGAAGCTGTGGAAAGCTGCTGGACTATTCCGTGTCATTAACTAGATACTCCTTTCAAAGAGCTGATTCTATCAAAAACAAAAATGGTTTTATTTTTTTCTTACTGTGTTAGTGTCCTAGAGCTGCCATAACGAGGAACCACAAACGGCATGGCTTTAACAGCAGAAATGGATTTTCTCTCAGTTCCAAAGCTGAAAGTGCAAGACCAAATTGTTAGTAGGGCTAGTTTTTTCTGAGCCTTCTTCCCTGCCCCAGGATTAGATGTCTATCTTCTTTCTGGGTCTTCATGTGGCCCTTCCTCTAGACAAGAACATCCTTGTGTCCTGTGTGCCCCAATTTCCTCTTCTTCTAAGGACACACTCAGATTAGGCTAGCTCCACCCTAATGGCCTCATTTAACCTTAATTACCTCTTTAAAGACTCTAGATTCAAATACAGTCACATTCAGAGGTACTGGAAGTTTGGGCTTCATCATATTCATTTTCGGGGGCGAGTGCATAAACAGTCCATACCACCCATTTTTCCCCATTAAATGAATAAATGCAATAATTAACACATAGAGAAGGAAGGTGATTTTACTCACAAGAGTATGCCAAGAGCATCAGATGCCCAAAGAAAAAGAAGTCATAAGAAGAAAGGGCAGTTTTGTGTCCAGATTCTGGAAAAAGAGGAATTGGAACATGAGTTCTAAGAGTAGAAGTGGCAAACTCAAATGTTACTGAGACCCAGGGAGGTGAAGCACATGGGTCAAGTTGGAAGGCCAACACAGGTGCACACACACACAGTCGCAGTATGAAGAAGACAGTGGCAGCTGCCCATTGAACAGAGGCTGTACTCAGCTACAAGCATGTTGAATGGTACCTATTATTGCCTATCTTTATAATCTTCCAAGGAAGCCAAGATGACTGCTTTGAATTTTTTTCTAAATACTATCCAAGTCAATTAAAATTCATTTACTGACCAAACCAACTATAAAACATGAGTTTTATTCTTGCTCTAGGTGTTGCTAAACTACAAAGGAACCTGAGGGAAAGAACCAAATGCAATCAGCCCTCCATAGCCAAGGGTTTTGCATACAGAGATTGAACCAACTGTGTGTCAAAAAATTCACACACATACACACACACACACACACACACACACACACACACAAACTGGATATGACTATTCAGTCATTACAGATTTTTTTCTGGTCACTTTCCCTTAAATAATACAGTGTAACAACTATTTGCATTGCATTTGCAATGTATTAAATAACATAAGTAATCCAGAGATGACCTAAGGTAGAGGGAGAATGTGTATAGATTATATATAAGGGTTATTCCATTTTATATAAGGAACTTGAGATGCCTCAAGCTTTGATATTTGCAGGGCCCTGTGGAATCAATCTCCCATGAATACCAAGGGAGAACTGTAATCATCTTGATTGTATATATCTAGCACTGTCCTAGGAACTGAACATAATTTAATTAAACCTTCCAGTCCTAAGAGGGAGATATTATTATCCCCTGTTCTCACCCTGGGAGTCTCAGGTGGTACACATCCAAGGTTACCTAGCCAATCAAAGGCAGATCCGGATTCACCCCAGGGTCAAACAGCCCATGTGTGTCCACACCACCCCCATCTTCTATACCAGCTCTTTTCCACCTTGATTGGCATATGCACATTACCTGAGAAGCCTTTAAAAGTCTCAAACCCTAGGTCACACCCAGACCAGTAAAATCAGAATCTTTGCGGGTGAGAGCCAGAAATCATTCTTTTTAAAACCTCTGGATAATTCAAGAGGAAACAAGAACTATGAACCAAGAAACACTGGCAGTATCTGACAGCTTGTTAGAAATGCAGAATCTAGACCCCACCCCAGACCTAATGCACCAGAACCTCAATTTAGCAAGATCTCCCATGTGATGAATGCACATCAAAATTTGAAAAGCATTGGTCTAGGAGAGAACTAACAAAGGCCTAAATAAGCCCTCCCAAGTCTGGCTTCATCTTCAAATTTTATTTATTTATTTATTGCTCTTTTAAAAAATTTTTTTAATCAACAAATCATTTATAAAGGAGTAATCCATAGACTGAAAAAGTATTTGCAACACACATATTTGTTTACAAAATATACAAAAACTGGAAAACTCAACCATCAGCAAATAATGCAATTAAAAGTTAACAAAACAAATAAACAGGTATTTCATTGAAGAGGATAATCAAATGGCAGATAAGTATATTAAAAAATATCTAGCATTATTTGATTATTTGTTGTTAGAGAATTTCACATTAAAACCATAATGGGATACCTAAGAGATTGTCTATGTTTCTCTCCCTCCCTCTTTCTGTGTATGTGTGTGTGTGGGGTGTGTGTGTGTACACATGTATATTTACATATATGTGCATATTATTTTGTATTTTCAAAATTAAAAAGTGTTCAAAAATTTAATATTTTCTAAAGATCTAAAAGAAACTGGGGGAGGGAGGAAGGAGGAAGAGAAAAGAAGGATCTATACCTCCTGACTAGTAAACCAAATCCCTGGATCTGAATGTTATACTTTCACCTCCAGGGACTTCTTGTTTATTTCCTTTGGCATTTTCCCCAGATTATTAAAAGATAACTGGCCCTCTCTTTTCCATTTCAGACTCTATCTCGAGAATAAGGAAACAGAGAAATTACCATCAGCCAAGGCTCAACTAAATGTAGATCAAGCTTCGTGCAAATAATTGGTGTTCTGCAAATGTTCATGGAGCATCCTCTTTGATTGCACACTAAATCATCAGGGAGGAACAGAGGTGGTAGCCTCACCCTAACCAGCCGGCTTTTACCTATAAACCACTCCTGACTTCCCATGTCCATGTGGAATAAATGTAATCAGGATAAACCCATCTCTCTGGAGCTCCTCTCTGTTTCAGGCCTGGTCTGCAGGGCCCTCAGTACCTGATCCTTCCTGCCTTCGCTCTCCCCCTCCTTGTTCATTAGGAGCTGCCATGCCCGGCTCTGGGGAGGTGCTGGGCTGGCCCTGTGTGTTTTATAACAGCTCTTTAATTCTGCCTTATTATCTTCTGTTCTTACAACCATGATCTTTGACTACTGCTTTCATTGTATTTTCAGGTTTCTCTTTGATGCCTAAATTAATACTAATGGGAAGCTCTCTCAACTGTTTGCTTACTTCTCTCTTTCTACTCAGCTTCCCCCAGCATTCCTCAATCTGTGCTGTGTGCTCTTCGGTCAGCCTTTCTTGGGACTTTAAAGGCAGCCCAAGTATGTTAGACGTGGGATGCCCTCCAGAGCTGAGCGGTCCAGAGCGGTGTGAGAAAGGAGGCTGTACACAAACAAGGTGGCCACCTGGATGCCACCTTGGAATGACAGCCCCTTGGCTCAGCTTCTTTGTCAATTGGGATGAATGACTGCCCTTCCCACTTGCTAGTATTCCTCATTTATCCTGTTAAGTCCCATCGTCCCAGGCACCTATAAAAAACTAAACAATAAACAAACCACTTGGGGTAACTTATAAAATAAATATCATGTTTTTAGAGTTCTACTCTTTTGGAAAAAGTAGTAGGTGAATGATTTATGAAAAAATATATGAAAGATATGTAAGCTCTAGATTATTATTTGCAACCTATTTTTATCTACCTGAGTTAATTTCATTGAAATATTTAAAACTTGAGACGGAATGAGTTAATGATTCTTCTAGGGGACAGTTCCTGTCATTTGAGGAACTGGGGGAAGGCTTTCTTTACCCCAAATACTTTCTTCCATGACTTGCAATATCTGAAATTTTGCCTCTTCAGAAGTTATTCCTTTAGGTTGTTTCCAAAGGAAGGAGCACAGCCTTGGGAGGTTTTGAATGTTAAAGTCATGATTATACCTATTTGGGCAGGGGACTCCATTGACAGGTAGCTGAGAACAAGATGGAGAAAGGAGATATCTGATCCTGAGGGACAGGCAGTCAGGGAACCACCTGACTCTTTATAACTGTATCTGAGGGCAGTTGGAATTTTATGAAAAAAATGCTAACCACCTGGTTTCTTTTGCTTTGTTGCCCATACTGGTCTTTAACTCATGGCTCAAGGGATCCTCCTGCCTCARTCTCTTAAGTAGTTAGGACTTTAGATACCCACAGCACTCATCTCTCCTTGTTTCTTTCCCTCCTTAAGCAACAGTATTCAACAAGTCTTTACCAAGGGCAGCAGTTCTGGCCAGAGTGCAAAGAAAAAGAAATGGAACAGAAAGATAAAAGTAAATTAGTCACCAACCTTTTCTTGTAGATTCAGCATATAATCCACCAAAGAGACATACGAAAGACACGAACATACAGACTTTGCCTTTGAAAACTTAGTGTGAGGTATGAAGAGATGCACATACTGGAGGTTAGGAACATATGTACATATTTAAGTATGTACACAACAAACATATGAATTATACAAATATGTCTTCAAATACCTTTCTTAAGTTGATGGCTTAAGAATATAATCTTACATATACACAGTGTTCTATTCATAGAAAAAAGTAAAATTAATAACGTCTTCATCACTGCTGATCAGATCTGGATCAGTGAGCTAGAGGAGCTGTTCCCTTTTTCTTTTGCAGTCTTGATTCAGGGAAATGTTCTCTTAATTTTTTTTTTTTTAAAGAGAGAGAGAGAGAATTTATTTATTTATTTATTTGTTTTTAGTTTTCGGCAGACACAACATCTTTGTTTGTATGTGGTGCTGAGGATCGAACCCGGGATGCACACATGTCAGGCGAGCGTGCTACCGCTTGAGCCACATCCCCAGCCCTGTTCTCTTATTCTTTACTTTATTATTGCTCCTCCATCTCTCTCATTTTATCCTTCTCCCCCCACACCCAGGATTGAACCCTGAGGCTTAACCTCTGAGCCACATCCCCAGTCCTTTTTTATATCTTATTTAGAGATGCTGTCTCACTGAGTTGCTTARGGGCTTGCCAAGTTGCTGGCTTTGAACATGCCATCCTCCTGCCTCAGCCTCYTGAGCTGCTAGAATTACAGGYGTGAGCCATGGCATCCAGCCCTTTTCATATTCTATAAACTTAACAATCATATGTGGGGATTTATTCTACAATTTCCTTAWCTTTTCCCTATTATTTTCTTCCCCTTATTTGGTTGACTTTGTYTTCTTTATTGCTGTAAGATATCCAGCCCCCAACTTGGTCTTCCAAATTATTAATTTGACTCTTTTAAATTACAGSGGAAGGTTTGTTTTGTTTTGTTTTAATTAATTGATTGATTGCTTCTTGGTTGGGCTGGGTTTGATCCCAGGGCTTCACACATGCYAGGCAAGCTCTCTACCACTGAACTACATCCCTGGTATCAGTTTTTAGTTGGCAAGTCTTTTTTTGACGTATCTTTGAATTTCCTTAAGTGGTCTCATTGTTCTTCAAGTCAACAAATAYGTCCTAGGCTGCTCTGCTTGACTCAGGTTGCTCTCTCTGATCTTCAGGTTTGGATGTGTCCTTGGATATTTGGATGTGTCCTTTTGTCTGTTATCATTGTTCTTTTCCTGATCATAGGGACCTCTCCCAGTTGTTGGGACTCGCATGGAGTCTGTGACCTTAACTGCTGTAAGCCACCTGCCATCTCTTGCAGCTGCTTGGCTCAGGACCCCACAACAAGGTCTAGAGTTGGGAATGAAGGGGAAGTGGGATGAAGTCAGTTGCCATTGGCCCCAAATGCCCTGGAAAGCTCTAGAAGCTGAACAAGTAACTCACACTCCACTGTGTTTTCATATGGAGAGTCAACTATCTGGCTTTAAAATTTTACTCACCATTTGAGTGACCKCGTGCATGTCCTTTAAAACACTGGGCTCCTCTTCCTCATGGATCATTGACAATTAGCCACAATTTTCTTTATGCCTTCAGTATTTCATTGTGAGGATCAAGTAAAACACAATTAAATCAGTTGTGACATGATGGATTCCTGTGATTGTTATTCTCCTCAATCCTCTCTCTCTCTCTCTCTCTCTCTCTCTCTCTCTCTCTCTCTCTCTCCTAAAGAAATAGAACTGGAAGAGAAAAGTATTTGAAAAAATTATGAAATATATATAGCTGCTGCTAGAGACCTACAGGAAAGCGCTCACAAACAGAACAACCATATGTATTTTCCAGAAAAATGGCAGATTTGTCTGTTCAGCAAAAACCACAGACAGCAAGAAAGAAAGAGAGTAACTGCAAACATACCCCAATGCCTCCTCCCTTGCTACATAGAAAGTAAGGGTAGGGAGAGGAGGAGAGCGAGAGCAGGCTTCCCAAAGAAGGGAGGAAGGTGTTTTGCCAGACACCATTGATGAAAGAAAAACTTGGTACAAAATACATTTAACAGTTTTTTGAGCAAGTAACTATTTGCTAATCGGGCAGCCAGCTCTACTCTGTAACAACAGTAGTGAGTACTTACAGACATGAAGAGGTTGAAGAAAGCAAAAACAAGGAAAGAATAGCAAATTGGTCATTTCAAAGTTCCTTTCCTTGTAAGGGTTAAGCAGACTTCCCATATCGTGCTGGCTAAAGCTGGCCTTGTTCAGGATCTGGCTCTCTCTCTCTCTCTCTCTCTCTCTCTCTCTCTCTCTGTCTCTCTCTCTCTCTGTCTGTCTCTCTCCTGACTTTCTAAAAGGTCAAACAGCTCAGTTTCAATTTGACTGCATGGATCATTAACATGAGTGACTCCATTTCAGTTTGTTCTGTAGGGGCCCAATATAGGAGCTCAATCCAAATCAATGGACCCCAATAAATTTTACTTAACACCATTTTCATGACATTAAGCAAGCTATTTTCTCTCTTTGAACTTATTCCCTCATCTGTAGAATGGGGAGATAATAGTTTCACCATGGGATTTTGTGATGATAAATTGGGATTAATAACATTATATGCAAAATTCCTGATGCATAATAAATTCTCAACAAATGAGAGGATGCTGTACATGTGTTTCCCTTTTCAGCCTGCTCATGCTGCATTTGCTTTTCTTTACAGACTTTTTAAATTTTTTTCTAATTTAAGCCTCCAACCCATTAYTCATAAATTTAGGTGGGGTGGCTGGGGGAAATCTTTCTTGAGYTGGAAAATGACAGCCCTTTGTGATTGGCTTGAATGATGAGTTTTTCCTCTGCCAAGAATAAAAATAAAGTGAAAGTGACGTTCTCATCAACTGAGCACAGGCCCCAGAGAGACTGGCAACTGTCACTACGCCATCGTGGGGACACACTGACAAGTAGGGACACAGAGTGCCTGCTGTAACACCGTAGCTCTAATTATAGAATCTTTAATTCACTGGCCTACTTTGGCAGGCATGGCCCCCASCACAGATTCATGCAGACAAATAAAGCTTCTGCGTATTAACACTTGGCTTGACAGCCAACAAACACTTACCCAACACCTGCCCAGTGCTAAGCACTGAGCATTAGGGGGAAGCAAAAAAAATTAAAGAGGTGGTCCCTGCCCTTAAAGAGCTTATGGTCTACATGAGCTAGTTGCTGCTGCATTCTTGYTTTAAAAAGTGATATGTAGAGCCACACAATTCTGATTTGCAGACCCTTGTTTAAAAAAAAAAAAAACATTTAATTTTATGTTATCTGGCCCAGAAAATAACAGATGGATGATAGTTTCCAAGAACAAACCTAATGAACTTCTTTAAAATCATATGAACTTCCTTTATAGGCATTAGGCAAGCCAAGTGAAGTGTGTGACCCAGGTCTTAATCACATCTTTTTCTGTCTTTTTAGTCAACACACAGATTCAGAAGAAAACTGGTTTAAATGAAAAAAAAAGGGACCCTTCCAAAGAAGAAGCATGAAAGTTACAATGTGTAGGTTGGCAGCCAGCCTTGGGGATAACTGGGGTCTTAGCAGCAACCTGGCGGCCACTTTCTCACCTCCATGACACAGGAGCCCATGAAGTTGCTCCACCTTAAGCTATATGTAGATAGTTCTCCCAGAAGGAGSGGGTGGAGGGCAAGCTCCCTGGATGGCATCTATTTTAGGAACGTCTATGGCTAAGGAATTAGAAAAAGATAATAACCATTTGCTTGCAGAAGCTCATTCAAAGCCTATTTAATTTAATCCAAATGCCCACACAGCAAGAACTTCTGGTCCTCAGAACTCTGCACACCACCTCTCAACCCAACTATAATTAATATGTGATATAACTAATGATCTCTACAGCTGGGTACACGTGGGTTTCCATCCCTGCTCCCACACTAATGGGTTCTATAAATTAGGCACATTACTGACCCACTCACTGTAAGTCAAAATTGTCATGTCTATAAAGTTGGGCTCATGAGTGATCCTCAGGGGACACTGTGAGCTCAYTGGCATGTGGGAGTGAAGGGCCTGGAACAAGGAGTCATTCAGGGATGGCGGCTTTTCTTCTCTGTTCTAACTTTGGGACTGGTTTTCCCAGGTGACCTTATTTGTGTGATCTTTCTACAAAGCTCAGAAATGTCCAGATGTGTTCCAGAACACCTCTGGAGATGAAGGACTGCAGAAACTACTTGGGAAAAAAAAAAAAAAAAAAAAAAAAAAAAAAAAACCTTCCACTAAGAATCACAGCCCTGGGTGGGACTAAGTAATCACCCAGACTTTTCCAGATGAGGAAACCTGAGCAAAGTATAAACTTCTCAGTGAGTTAGTTTTCAAATTGGTATAATACCCTGCCTCAGGAGAGTATTATGAGGGTTCAAAAGAATTGACTTTTACAGTGCTAAAGATAGTGTATGCKCACAGTGTTTAAAATAAGAAATACCTTCTCTATTCCACTCCAGCAAGTTGATGAAAAATTACAAAACAACATACTTTTATTTATAAGAAAACTTGGACATAACTCAGATTTTACGCAGGAAACCAGAAGGGGGATTAATACTGCCTAAAAAGAATGATCAAGTTAATGTCCCATGCCTGAAAACAGATTGACTGATCACCATGTACAAGAAACTCCCCAAGTTAAAGGAGATTATTTGATTCAGTCCAAGTTCTCATGCATCAAACAACAGGCAGAGCTGTTCTTCTTGTGGTCTTGKTTTGGAAGAACTTTGCCTTGCTGCCTGGCCCCAGAGTCCTCCTGTCACTGATGACATTGGAGTACCATGTCACTTGTCTTGAAAGAAGGGAAACAGCAGTTCTTTAATTCCTCTACTTTCTAACTTTCTATAAAACATAATATATATATATATATATATATATATGTATATATATATATATATATATATATATTTCAAATAACTACTTGATCTCAGTCACACATAAGTAATGTTTTTCTTCCCCTATCCCCGGACCAACATCAGAATCCAACACACATCTTTTCTCTTTTGCCAAAAATGGGTTGCCATCAAAGACCTTGGTATGGACTAAATCATGTACYCCCAATTCTACAGACTGTACCAGGAGAGAGGACCTTGAAGGAGGTAACTCAGGTTAAATGAGGTGCCAAGGGTGAGGCCTCTGATTYAACAGGATGAGTGTCCTCATGAGAAGAGAAGAGGTACTAGTAGCATGTAGGCACAGAAGAAAGACATACGAGGTCACAAAAGACAGCCATCTACGAGCCAGGAAGAAGGGACCTCTCCAGAGACCAGCCCTGCTGGAGCCTTGGTTTTAGACCCTCAGGCTGCAGAAYTGTGAGAAAATAAATGCTGTTTAAGCCACCCAGTCTGTCATATTCTGTTATGCCTGCCCTAGCAGACAAATACAGACCCCTCTGGTTCCCTGATGTGGAGAGGGAAAGCATTAAAGCACGCATCCCTATAGGATGAAGGAGAAAGCCATGAAAACATTCACTTTTCCCCGCTAAATTTACATTGGCAAAAAGGGAGGGGAAAAAAGTGCAACAAGGCCTTGTCATTTTTCTGTAAGGAAAAAAAAAAAAACCACAACTGGATTTATCTTTTTTTAATTATTAAAATGAGAAAGTGCATCTCTTCATTCCATGATGAAAAATAAATTGTTTTTGTTTCCCTATATTTCCTGCTATATTTTGAGGGAGGATGTAAAATCTTGGGAAGAGTGCTTTGTTTTTTCCAAGCGTTCATTTCACGCAAAGCAAATTAGTCAGAATCACAGGCAGTATGAATCTGTCATCACTGTGACCCTTGCTCTCGGAACACGACTGTGCTGAAATCCTGAGATAAATCTTTATGCCRAAATCCTATTATTTAGAAATATAATAAAAATAACAATCAGAGAATGACATCAGGACTGTGAGAACACTGCCCTCCTTTGCACATCAGAAGAAGCTAACTTCCGCTCGTCGCTGGCTGAAATGACAATACCAGGGCCTGGAAAATATCTGCTTGGTTCCAACATAAATAGTCTTCTGTCCTCTGGGGGAAAAATCCTTTTTTTTTTTTTTTTTTCTCCATGGCTTCAGACAGGCTACTGGCTTGGGCACACTAACACCTTCTGGAGATGGCATGGAAATATCATTCAGTGAGTTGAAAACAGATAAGGATGTGTTTTTACACTTACGGATAAGTAGATATTACTTGGAGTGTAGTGATCACTTTTGTCAACAGGCTTTCTCCTCCACCCTTGACCTCTGACTCATTTAAAGGCATAAYGGGGAGTATTGGTTGGTAGTGGAGGGAAGAGCATTTAGGTAGAAGATACTGGCAAGAGTGCAACAGAGATAAAATTGAAGAGATGAAGCGAGGCAAGAGGAAACATCTGGATACCTGGCAAGGCTGACCTTTGACTCCTCGCCTGAAATGGCTCATTACTGACTTTTCTTCATTGTTGACCTATTATCTGGTGKTTTTTTTTCCCTACTTTTGCATATTTCTCTAAAAACAAGTAAGATAAAGATTGCCATTTATTTACTTTAAAGGTTCATAAGATGTCCAGWCAAATCTCTAGGGAAGATCATACTTCAATAATTCACAAATAGTTGAGCATTTTCTTAGTCTGCTCTTCAAAACAATACTGAACCTGAAGAACATGGAGCCAAGAAGCCAGGCAGTTTCCTGAGTCCACTGCACCTGATCTCACATCTAAAAGAATGCCTGTGACTGTGTTCC